CGGCTTCTTGTGTATTCTGGGCCTGGTTTTTTCTAGAAAAATCTCCTTTTTCCTTTCCTTCATGCCTGCTGAGCGCAACTCTCGCACCAGAAACAATGAGACTTTTCATCTGGACCTGCGTTGTCGCCCTTTGGCTCCTAGGCGCAACAATTCTCCGGCAGCTGAACCCCAAAGAACGTCCACACCTTACCCTTCCCACCTCCAGACTCTAGAAGAGCACTTCACAGCTGGAGTGATAGAGATGCCAGTCCCCAGACGTCCTATCCTAAGCTTTCCCTCTCAACAGGAGTCAGATGACTCTTCTTTAGAGTTCCTTGATGAAGGCGGTTTCCGTTACCCATTTCCCCCTTTCCTGCCAAACGTTACTCACCGACCATTCCTCATTCCAGGTCCTCCTGACTCATCCAACAGTGACACCGTAGTCTTGCATCAATTCCCGGGTCCCCTGGATGTTCCTCAGGGATCAGAAGCAACCACCAGATCTTACCATGTTGCTCCTGCACAGGTTTTCCCATCTTCATTGCCCATGAATACCTCGTCGTCCCCTAATCCTGACAGTCCCCTCGCTGCATCAACCGATTCACCAAGCATGCCACCTCTTGCCTCAGACGTCTCAGACAATGGTAGCCTCGATCATGCTCCTAATCTACGGTTACTAGCTGACGTTAGCGACTATGTCACGGCCACAGAAGGATATAGCAGCGATCTACAGGAATTCGTAGTCTACAGTGACGACGTTATCCAACGACCCTCCCTTAATGTCACCCAATCCTGGCGATCCATTCCCTTCGACACCTCCACCCCTATTCAAGATGTCGACCCCTTGGACCGCGTACTTCCCCACTTTCCTGGAGCCTATGCTATCACTATTACTCGGCCTCCTATGGGTGTCCCCATCAATGGGAATCCGGCCTTTGGGCTACGACAAATATCGACTACCCCAGCAGATGTGCTTCGAGTCGCTGAACCTGTGGGGAATTGGAACCAATCAGACAAGGAATGGGAGGAGGACACTACAGAGTATCTGCTGACGCGGGATGACAACCTCTTGGAGAGTCTCTGGGCCTTGTTACAGGATATCAAGGACGCTGGAGTGACCAATGAAGTCGATTGTTTCAGGGCTGTTGATGCCAAAATCGACTTACTATTGGCAGCACGACAAGCAGTAGGGGCCGAGCTTATTCGTGCTCAACAGGAAATGGATCAATGCCACGCTCGTCTCAAAGCGGCCAACCTGGAAGAACGTCTAGAACAACATGAGTTCTCCATTATCACTTCCTCTTCAGGCACCATGCCTCGCTGACTCTGCTTCTGTACCAAATGCGAGACCGACGGTCATCTTCAGAGTGAGTGCTGGCATTGGGTATGCTCTTCATGCCGACTCCTACATCCTCGTTATCCATTCCACAACAACATGGAACCTGGACAGGTATCCAGTCCCACCGAGGAACCCGGATATTTACAGGAGCATCGAGCCCAGTGGAGACTCTGACAACGAATCTAGAGAGGGGGGTAATATTACAGTTTGGAGGGGGGTTTCTTTCTTTTCCCTAACTATTCGTCGTTGACCCTGTA